TCTCTCTCTCTCTCTCTCTCTCTCTCTCTCTCTCTCTCTCTCTCTCTCTCTCTCTCTCTCTCTCTCTCTCTCTCTCAGGTCAAGTGGAAAAAGCAGTGGCGGATCCAGGGGGGGGGGGGGTTCCGGGGGTTCCATGGAACCCCCTAAATTTGCAAAGTGTGCGGCTGAGAAATATCGAAAAATATCATGTGTGCACAAAAGGACGTCCATCCGATCACAGTCAGTGCAGTCACCATGGTCACTGAGTCAAGGAGCACAGACTGTCAGGCAGTGCACTGCATGCGCGTGCGGTAGATCGATACTGTACGGATAGTACTTAGTAGTCTGTACTGGTGTTCACGTCCGTGATTTACAAACGGACACTGCAGCCAACATTGGGTGGTTGTTTCCTTTTTGATCTTTCGAAACGATCCAAACTTACCTCCATTGGCGCTGTCATTCACTGCTGGTCAGGATGGGTGTGGTGCGGTCAGTATTCCTTGGACAAGTTTTTTTGCAGAAGAGAAAGGATGTTCCGAGTACTGACACTCTTCAACGAACTTCGAACCGTACACGTAGAGTTCAAGCTCCTCAGAAGATGAGGGCTCCGACATCCAAGCAAAGTCAGTAACCTCTACCTGCTGCAGCATGCAGTAGTGACTAGTTGTTCCTCCGCAGGAACGGAGTGCTGTGCCAGCGATGTGTTTTAGATGACATTGAAAGGATTGTACCCCGTCGACACTGTTTCGCTGTTGTTGTTTCTGTCACTGAAGTGAAGACGATGCTCTTGTCCTGTGACTATAGAGCATTTCGCATCGTAAAAATGCCAAAATTTTCCGAAAGTACAAATGGACAGGGAAAGTAACTTAGTTGTCATTTCGGCATTCCTGGCTCTTAACGTACCCATGGCTTGCATATTCGATCTTTACAAGAAGTTGAAGGGGTCTTCAATCCCTCACTGAACCTGTGTGCCAGTCGATTGCATACATGTATAATTTAATTATGATTATGTGTCCGTACTAAAATTTACAATGTAGGGTAAGCAGCAGCATTTGGCCCTGTATACAGGTTTTCCATCGTCCACCACACCACAACTGCGCTCCGACTCAGTCTCCAGCGATGGTGGTGTGCTGTGGCAACATGTCGAGGCCGGCTGGAGAGCGCAGTTGTGGTGTGGTCGATGATAATATTATGTCCGTAGTGCGTTTTAAAAGCATGCGATTCCCACTAACACAATCGGATTGTCGTTATTACAAGTGTCAACCGCACATCTGATTCCATAATATTTTGGCTGTTCAATTTTGGCTCAACCGGAACCCCCCTGTAGAGATCTCTGGATCTGCCCCTGAAAAAGACTGCAACTTCTATGACTACCATTTGCATCTTTCTCTCAAAGCAATGAGTAACTTAGACTTATGTGGCCTAGGCCGCAAAAACCAGGGTTAGTTGATATTTGGCGAAAATCAGTTTTTTGATGGCTTTGAACTGTCCACTAAATGAGTGTGTCTATGGGCCAAATTTTGGAGCTCTGGGCACCTTCCAAGATGGTCAAAAGAATGCCCGAAATCATGGGTGAAGGTCGACAAAAATGATCAGCAAAAAGGCGAAAAGGAATGCAGTTACAGTTGGCTGAAACTCACTGCGCCGCATATGCAAGTCCCCTATCATTCACTGACCAGAAAAAGCCACTTCATAGCTGTGTGGTGTAGACCAGGCTGAATACTGTACAAGCAGAAATATTCGTCTGGAATTTAATTTCGTCTTTTTCGTCCAACAAGCCGCTGGACTAAATTATATGCCGGACTAATGTTGATTTGTCCAGCTTTTCAATACACTCTTATGATCCATGGACGAAATTTACAACCGGACGAACTCTCTTTCTTTGGAGTTGGACGCAATTATTGACCGACGAAATTTTCCGCCTCCACAGTTATTATTATTATTATTATTATTATGAACAGTTTCGCGTACTTGAGGACCAGCCTCTTTCCGCCTGTGTGTTCCTGAGCAATAGAAGGAGAGAAACAAAACTATACTATTATGATGATGACAAGGGAAGACATGGACTGCAAGGTACGGTTTACAAATCGACAATAAGCAAATAGCACTGAGAAGGATGGGCAACTTCTGTTTCGTCAGTGTTCACTGTGCGTTTTTCACGAAGGCCTTCCACACTTGCCTGTCGGATGCCTTCTGCCGGCGGCTCTGCAGATGCGGGCTCCTCTTGAGTGGCGTTTGTCTGTGGACGCAGTCTTGCTGGATCTGGGTGACTAAAGTAGTCAGAGGTCTTCCTGGCTTGGCTGTGTTCGGTGGATTGAAGTAGAGTGCCATGGCTTGTTGCGGTGGTGTGTCTTCGGGTAGGCGTAGGACATGTCCCAGCATGGTCATTCTTCGTCTGTGGACTTCCTCGGAGATGGGCTGGCTCTGACATCTCCGGTATAACTCGATGTTTGTGATACGATTGGGGTAATGTATGCCCAGTAGCGAGCGAAGCTGTTGCCTGTGGAACACGTCCAGCTTGTCACTGACTGCCTTTGTTGATCCCCACGTACAGCAATTGTACAATAGGGTCGGCAGAACATATGCGTTGTAGAGGCGAACTCTGCGAGCTTCTGAGACATGCTCCCTCCGCAGCCACAGAGTGTACATGTTCTTGAAGGCAATCGTTGCCCGCTGCTTTCGCCTTTGGATGTCTTCGTTAGTTGCCATGAGTGATCCCAGCTGCTTTACTGTTTTCCAATTTTCTGTTGTTGACGATACTGTGACCCATTCCGTCTTCTGGGTGTTTACGTACAGCGACCAGGATTCAAGGACCTTCGCAATGATCGGCAGTGCAGCTCGTAACCAGTCTAGACTTGTGCTGTAGTAGTTGACATCGTCAGCATACCTGCTCTCATGGGGTAGTAGTCTATCGCTTTCTGGACGGGGTGGCAGATATGGCCTCCACAGTAGTAGCGGTCAATTCATCAGCCTTGCAAGCTGTTGAATGGTGCAATCCCAGCACAAGTTGCTATGTCTAACATAGCTGTTCGCTATTATCGCTTCCGCGATGGGCAGGTCTGAGGTCTGAGGTGTGTGTGTGTTTGTGTGTATGTGTGTGTATGTGTGTGTATGTGTGTGTGTGTGTATGTGTGTGTATGTGTGTGTGTGTGTGTGTGTGCGTGCGCGTGTTTGTTCACGCAGATATCAACGAATGTGAGGTGGACCCGTCACAGTCTCCGTGCGCTCTCCAGAACGCTAAGTGCACAAACACCGCAGGCAGCTATACATGCCCGTGTAAAGCTGGTTTCCAGGGACCCAACTGCAACGGTATGTGTATGTAATGTGAGGAGATGTATGCAGCTACCAACTGGTGTATATTCAATAGCCAGTTGATCAGCAACATTTTTCATCAATTTGTTTATGTTAGAGCTGAACCGATACGCACACCCTGCTTGACGATAACCCCAAAGCTGTGTTTACACGACAACGCTGGGGGCGAAAACGCAACGAAATCCTTTCGGAACCATGGTTCATTTACACGGCACGCCGAGCAAAACGTAAAAGTTGTACACCAAAACGGAAGAAAACCAAAAACGCTGGCCAAGGTGGAAGAATTTGAAAACGGAAACGTTCTGCCGGATAAATTTGGGTGTGTAAACAGTCGAAACTTTGTGCTGGTCTCGTTTTCCGTCACGTTTGTTCGTTTTCGGCCGTTTACATGTATCCGACAATCCAAAAAATGGTTTTACAATTTCCGTCATGTGACGTGTGTTGCCGTGTGCCTGTTTTCAACCATTACTTGAGTGTGATTGGTGCTTCCACGGCAACACTTGGCATATGACGAACTTTGGCGGATCCTTTGCTATCGTGTAGACGCTTGAAAACGATACAAACGGAGACCACCTCGGATCGGCTTTGATCGTGTAAACGTACGAAAAAAGAAATGCAGGAATGAAAACGGAAAACTGGCCGTGCGTTGTCGTGTAAACGCAGCCTCAAATAGAGAAAGCGAAAAGGGACGTTATCCCGATTTTTGTGCGTTTTGAGTTATCAATAGATTCTTGTAGCCAGAAGATGTACAAAGCACATGAAAAAACCCGATTCAAAATCGATACACGGATAGCAAAGTTACGGGCATTTTCCACGATGCATCGCATATATCGCATTGTATTCCACGAAAATATCGCATACATTTTCATGGACAATCTTCATGCTGCGCAGCTTCGGAGGTACTACGTAGCCTGGGAAGGTTTGGGCACAGTCGTTACGACCTACAGTTCTGATTTTTGATCGCCAATGCGTAGAATGTTTGTCGATTTAGATAGGGTTTTCTTCCACGGGTGCGGTGCTGTATGTTACTGGATCTCCTATACACAGAGTGAATTTGCTCCAAAGAAGTCTCGTATCACCGAGAAACGCACAGTTTCAAAAGTTCCATCCGAACGTGACAGCCGGAAATCAGCTGATTGACTTCAAGTGCGATTGTCTCAAAATCAAGTGCCGCGGGATAACGTCCCTTTTTCGCTTGCGCTGGATTTTAGCAGAACAATTGATATATCGATATAATGATATTTGAAGCAGGGCATCTGGTTGTCATAGCCGCACGCGGCTGGCCCTCTGCGCATCAAGATAGAAGCCTCGATCATTGTCAACGTGACGTCGCAGCTTAAAGCCCGATTCACAATACAACTTTCTGCGACGCGACACGCGATTTGCGACAGTTGCGACAAGAAACTGCCTGTCGCGAGCTGTCGCAACCTGTCGCAAGCTGTCGCAATGCACCTGTCGCAGAAGTTGAAGAAAGTTCAACTTTTGCGACATGCGACACGCGACATACACAAATGGAGTACAGTTTCGACCCTGGATGCACGTGCAGTGCACGTGCATAGTACTACTTGTGCATGAGGATGTCGCAAACATGAAGAGTATTGTGAACCGTGTGTCGCTGTCGCAGCTCGTCGCATGTGTCGCAAGTCGCATGTCGCGTCGCAGAAAGTTGTATTGTGAATCGGCCTTAAAGCACAGCGCAACAAGGTCCTGTACGAGTTACGGTCAGAGATCAAGAAGAGATCAATATCCAAGCTGGAGTCAAGGGCTGCAGAAATAGAGACAATGAGAAATGATACGGCAAAGATGCATGCTGCAGTCAAGTCTCTAAGAAGGAAACCCACAGAGATCCACGTTCAGAACAGCGATGGCGCTCTGGTAAATCGTTCAGAGCAGAAAGCGGAACTTTAGTCGATCTCATGTAATAGGACAACACTGCCTGTTTGTTATTCGACGTTAAATAAACCAATCCAATCCAATATCAGGTCACTTTCAGACTCAGTTTTCTCACTCCAGTGCGGAACCCCTTCCGAGCAAGGGTGATGTGTTCGTTACACAGGTTACACAGTCGCAGGTCTGCAAAACCACGAGCAGGCTGAAGAATAGGCGTTCTCCAGGCCCTGATGGTGTCCACAATGAGCTACTGAAGTATGGTGTGTCCCCAGGCCTATCATCTCCCGTCACCAAGATCCTCCAGAGTTCACTAGAGTCATCGTCACCTGATCCTGCTGTCGGATCGGGGCTGCTTATACCCTTGCAGAAGCCAGGAAAGCCAAGAGGACCCTGCACAAGTCTACGCCCCATAGTCCTACTCAATGGTGTGCGCAAAATTCTCTCGGCCATCACTCTGGCAAGGATCTCCTCAGAGGTTGAGGACTACCTCCCTTCATCCCAGAGCGCATACCGACGGGGCCAGGCCACAACTGATGTGGTGTTCACTCTACGGATCCTCAGCGGCATTGCTGAGACGAAGCAATGGTCTCTGTAGAGGCTCGGCATAGATCTCTCGAAGGCCTTCGACACGCCACACCGCTCAGATCTCCTTAGCACGATTGTCAGCGTTGCTCCTACCATGCCGGATGTGCTACCCTTAGTCCACACTCTGCTGTCAGACACCACCACCCTCCAGGTAGGTGTGCAGGAAAAAACAGCACCCCCTTTTAGGTCGAACGTTGGCACATCACAGGGTGACAGTCTTAGTCCGATTCTGTTTACATGCTACTTTGAGAGTGCACTGCGAGGTATCAGATCTGACTCCCCTCCTGACGACATCCTACCACCTGAACTGCAGTATGCTGATGATCTAGATTTCATTGGAACTGATGAGCAAGAGCTAGATGACGTTCATGATCATTGTGGCGAGACCCTCCCAAGCCATAACCTCACCGTTAATACATCCAAAACTGAACGAACAAAGATATACCTGGCTGATGATCTGGAGGAGCGTGGTTCCGAAGCATGGAGAAATGCGAAGTCGCTGGGATCACGGCTAGGCTCAGCGCACGATGTCCAAGCCAGAAAGGCTCTAGCAACCCAGGCATTCTGTTCGTTGTATGCACTCTTCAAGCATCAATCTACCTCACTACTGCTTAGAGTTGCGCTGTACAATACCTATGTGAAGCCAGTGCTGTTGTACAACTGTGCGACATGGGGTCTCACAGATGCCACCACCAGAGGGATTGACACCTTTCATCGAAGGCATCTGAGGACAATGGCTGGCGTTAAGTTCCCAAGCACAATTACCAACAAGCATCTGTACGACATCTGCGGCTCAGCACCGATTTCGCTCGAGATTGACCAACGACGTTGGGAGTTCCTCGGTCACGTACTGAGAATGCAGAAGAGCTCTCCCCACAGCGCGTGTTAGAGTTTTCAGCCACCGCGAGCCTGCGCAGTCGACTGGGCCGACCCAGGACAACTCTCCTCTCAGCTCTTTCTCAGGACTGCCTAGCCCGACTCGGCATTTGCCTGGGTACGCTTAGAGGCCTTAATCAGCTGCGGCAGTTGGCAGGGGATAAATCACGGTGGAATGGCACCCCGTGGCACTCATCTTCCTCTGCCAAGCCGCGTCCTTGACTTATCTCCTGCAGGGTGAACATCATGCACGAACAGTCTACCGTCTTTCTGACATTGCCACTCGAACTTGACAATAGAAGCTGCTTTACGCAGCGTTATTTGCAATAATAATAATAATAATATTAATAATAATAATCCACTCAATCACTTCTTTTCTATCCTGAAGAGAAGGGAAAGAAAACGCTTGATAGAAAAGAAGTGTCTACTGAATTGAGTGGATTTGCGTCGTTGCATGCGAATACTTATTACGAAACTGTTTTCCCACCGCCTCCACACCGGATGGTGTGTCTGCGGGACCAGTGACTCGCTCTAGGGCGAGGTTAGCAGAGTCTTTATCGTCTCCGTCGTTGTCGTCATCGTCGTCGTCAGCGTCTTCCTCATCTCCCTCCTCCTCTTCATCAACATCAACAGCCATTGGAACGTCAAAGGGAGCATCATCGCAGCAGGCAGTGCCAGTAACGGACGTGCCTTTGGTACTGACATCTACATCGGCCTCGTCTGGATTGGCAGTAGCGGCAAGGAATGTCAGGTCGGTTACATTGTCACGTAATTCCAAAGTATGTACTGGTTCTAGTAGCGTTGTTAGGGTGTATGAATCTTCTATCGCCAACCATCTTGTTCAGAATAGTGATTGTCGTTCTAGTTATGCTGATGATTGCTTTTCTGTTTGGTCTCGTTCACGTAGTCAAAGGTATTTGCGTGTATTGGAGTCTATTTACATTTTTACCACTAAGCCGATTTTGTGTAGACAGAAAAAGAATTTGTTTACGTTGAAATTGTTTGTGAATTTAGATCAGTAGTTCTCGTTTGTGGTTGCATGGTAACTTTCTAGTGGTGAATTTATCGCATCTGTTGTCACCTGATATCGTTGAATGGTGTAATGTTTCTTTCAGCTCTCATTTTATCGCGCTAGTTAGGGTCTAAATTATTACTTGCATTGTGCGTATATATATTGAGTTAAGAGCTTTTGTTGATTTGCCAATAATCCTCTGATGAGATGGCGACGAAAACGTTTAGGAACAAGCTTCTTTATTTACATGAAAACAAGTTTTGCTTATGGTGTTTGTACTGAGTGCGCAGCTTACTCTATTTATTGCGTTGATTACATTTTTATCTCCACGGAAGCTTCTTAATAATAATAATAATAATAATAATAATAATAGTAGAAAGGAAAAGGACATATGGAAACGAGTTAAGAGTAACTCTCCACCACTGTAACTAGATACTATATACAGTCAGAAAGTGCAACAACTAGGCACAAAACTGACAGAGTACTGAGACATTCGACGTCCTGACACCTAGCTTCAACACATCTCCGTAGCGCTAACCGACAGCCTTCCAACTTGGAAGGTTCAAGGTTATGGAAAGACCAAAGAGGGGAAGGCAAGCGCAACGAAAACGAGCACAAGCTACAGTCCCAACGGAACAAAGAATGTCGATTGTCACTGGACGATGACGAGACCAGTAGGCGATTTGACAAAGCGGTCTAACTACGGAGATGTGTTGAAGCTAGGTGTCAGGACGTCGAATGTCTCAGTACTCTGTCAGTTTTGTGCCTAGTTGTTGCACTTTCTGACTGTATATAGTATCTAGTTACAGTGGTGGAGAGTTACTCTTAACTCGTTTCCATATGTCCTTTTCCTTTCTACTTTTATTATTGGCTCAATACCCGAGTTTCAAATAATAATAATAATAATAATAATAATCTTCACTAGTTTGAGGGAAAGAGACAAACGGGAAAAGTCTGAAGAAAAAATTGACTGTCACCACCAGGACTCGAACCAGGGACCCTAATAATAATAATAATAATAATAATAATAATTCCCAGTATGTACCGTAATTCCCCGAATATAAGTCACACTCAATTATAAGTCGCACCCCCATTTTCAGGTTTTAGCCAAATAGATTAGATGTATTGACTTCAGTAGTACCGTATTTCCTTGAACACCCGCCGCCCCTTGATTACCAGCCGACCTTGAATAAGCGCCGCCAGTTTATTTTAACTGAGGGTTTTTCGTACACAAGTGCAGAGCAGTTCACATTATTTATACGCAATTTCACAGCTACGAGATGACCTTCAGCTACGATGTCATACTCCTTCACATGCAGCTAGTGCTGCTCTCTGTTCGGACAAAGGACTCAAAGGCGATCTAAAGAAGGGAATAAATCGAACACGCCATGATGACGCCCTCTCACAGCATAACAAAGAGCAAGACGAGTTATTTTATCGACCACCAAAAAAGAAAATGGGACGCAAACAAAGTAAACGGATGAAATGCAAGACGCACTGAGGATTGTCAAATCTACAAAACCAAGAACTCAGATCGGAGAACTTGTCTAGGAGAAAGTGGACACTGACGCTATGAAAGAAACAAACGCAGAAAGAGAATTCAAACGGGAGAGAAAAAAACTTGCGCGTCGTTTTTTTTTATTGCATCCAAAATTTTCAGCGTCGACGTCTTCTTGAAGCCCCGGGCCTCTACTTCATTCTCGTCGGCATGAGGGACTGCTGCTGCTGAACATGCAACTAACTTGCTAGTCGAGCCTCAAGCTCCCTCGCCATGATATTCTTTCCAGCGCAACGGGAAAAGAAAAGAAGATGCACTAGCCTACAGTTTAGCTGGAGAACACAAGGTTCAATAGTGCGCATCGTATGTGAACTCTACCGCGGCATACAGCACGCACATTGTGACGTACAACTATATATTTTTCAGGGCCGCACCCGTTTTGCTAGTTTTGAATACAGGCCGCGGCGGCTGTTCAAGGAAATACGGTAATTCATGCTCAATTGTAAGTCGCACCCCCTTTTCGCCCTTGAATTTTAGTGTACAAAGGTGCGACTTCTACTCGGTGCAATACGGTAATGTAGTGGTGGGCGTGTCTCATGCCAGTGAGCAGTGCGGGCCGAACCCAGTACACGGTGCACGCAGCATCAACATCACTGTTGCTTGCAGTCTAGCACCTTAAACACGTGTATGCCCATGTTGTGGTAGCTATTGTTATATTAGACACCCTTAGCAAACAACGGTCACGCTATTTTGTTTTACGGTACTCGTACCCTTATCACCCAAATAGCGTTGAAGCTGCAGCGTAAAAACGTTATGGGGGCTGATTTATCGTTGTGACAAACGGTATGTTTTTTGGCCAAAATATTGCATAGTCCGTACGCATTTCACCTTGTATCGCGTATATGGTGACATAAATGGTTGTACCGCGCGAAGTAAAAGCTATTCTCGTGGCAACAGCGTACTAAAAATGGCGTGCATCTTGCTAAAGGTCGAACCCAAATCACGGTATTTTCCTCCTTACGGTAATACCGTTACAACATAACGTTTTTTGCTAAGGGTGTCTATTGTTAGTGGCAGCTAACGATAGTCGATAGTAGATTCGATACCTTCCTTAACCCTTTCAGTGCTAATGACGAGATATCTCGCTCTGTAAAGTGTGCCTGAACGGCGGATGACAAGATATCTCGCTCCGCTGCCCACGCAATAGTACCAAGTGCATATATCACTGTACAAACTGTCATAACTCATCTCAATGGTGGCCGATTTTCACAAAATTTAATGATATACCGTTTTTTTTTTTTTTTTTACTATGTTCACATACCCAACTCATAAATAATACAGAAGACAATGGTACTGAGACAAGGACAAACGTGACAACTACTGAGAAGGGGCTGCACTGAGGTGCAGCAGTGATGGTGGGGCATTGATGGCTCTGCCGACCTGAGGTCTCGGCATCACGGCCAGAAACACGCACCAAAAACAAAAGATAGAGCTGTAAGGGTCAGCAAAAATTAAAAGAAAGCAAGGGCAAGCAACAGCTAGTGCTAGTGCGCAGCACATTCGTAGCAATGGGAGTCGTTGACGGGGCACTAGAATGCAGGTGGGCCGACAGGCAGAATGTCCGTGGACCATCGCCAATCCTTTCGGCGGAGGTATTCGTTGATGTTGGACTTATACTTTTGAAGATTTTTGCGAGTTGGGGCGGAGTCTAGAAAAGCTGGCGGCAGGGAATTCCACAGCTGGATTGCACAATGTGGGAAGCTGCGGAGAATGGTGTCTGGTGCTTGACGCGGTAGCGGATTTCGTAGCTGGTAACTGTGGCCGGCGGCCATGCGGAGATAGTTTCGAGTGCGAGTGGCGTCACGGGGCTCAAGCCTTGGTGGGAGGACTGCTAGCAATTGAGTTGGACCGGTGATGAAATGCAGTTTGTAAGTGTATGTAAATGCAGCAACGTATCGCCGTAGGATGAGGCTCTGGAGCTCCGTCCCGGGACCAATGATGCGCAATGCACGGCGTTGGATGCTATCTAGGCGTGCAAGATGGGAGGGAGCAGCTCCCATCCAGGCGAGCGGAGCATACTCCAAAACGGGCCGTACAAACCCCTTGTACACCGTGAGGCGGCCTTCTCGGGAGAGATAGGGCGCAGCTCGCCGCAGGAGGCCCAAGCGCTGTTTGCCACGTATAGACACTGCGCGGATGTGCTCCGCGAAGGACAGCTTCGGATCAAAAGTCACCCCCAAGAGGCTTATTGTGGATGACTCTGGCACAGGGTTGCCTCCAAAGAAGAGAGAGGGCAAGGCTAGCCGCGCTTTTTGCAGCGTGACTGTCATAGCCTGGGATTTCGACGGCTCAAACGCTACACGCCATTCCTTGCCCCAGTCTGACAGACGATTGACGGTGTCTTGAAGCAAGGCAGCAGCAGTGGGGAGATCGTTACGGAGAAGAGTGTACAATGTCATATCGTCAGCATATGCTTCCAGCTGCGTGTTCCCAGCAAGGCATGTGTGTGTGTGTGTGTGTTTGCGTGTTTGCGTGCGTGCGTGCATGGGTGTGCGTGCGTGCGTGTGTGTGTGTATGTGTGTGTGTGTGTGTGTGTGTGTGTGTGTGTGTGTGTGTGTGTGTGTGTGTGTGTGTATGTGTGTGTACGTGTGTGTGGGTGTGTGTGTATGTATGTGTGTGTGTGTCTAGTGAAAAAAACTACAAAGTACACATGTATATTTAAACAACTTCTATGACCACCATTTGCATCTTTTCCTCAAACCAATAAGTAACTTATTATCGTGTGGCCTGATTTCTTTGTGATGCAGCTGTTGATTGCGGATCACCCGGCAACATCTCCAACGCTAAGCTGGCAAGTAGCGATGTAACCGTATATCCCACAGTCCTGGCAATAACGTGTAACGCTGGGTTTCGTGTTAACGCTTCGGTCAACGCCACTGTCAACATCACTACCCAGTGCACATCGAGTGGCACGTGGACACACGCCGGAAAGACAATTTGTATAGGTGAGTGCGCATGTGTGTGAGTGCGCATGTGTATGTGTGTTCTTGTGTGTGTGTGTGTGCGCGCGCGTGTGTGTGTGTGTGTGTGTGTGTGTGTGTGTGTGTGTGTTTGTGTGTGTGTGTTTGTGAGTGTGTGGGTGGGGTGTTCATGTTAGCTCTTGTGCACACTGCGCATGTTTGCAGATATACGTACTCGTGTGCTTGTGTGCGGGCATGTTTGTGAGGGTGTACACGCTTGCATGTGTGCCTGCATTGCCATCATCCATCCATGTGTGAATGTGCGTGTGCATGCATCTACTACAGGAATAGTGGAGATGTGTGAATGTGCGTGTGCATGCGTCTGCTACAGGGATAGTAGAGATGTGTGCATGTGCGTGTGCATGCATCTACTACAGGGATAGTGGAGATGTGTGGTTGTTTAACCAGTATGCTCTGCGTTCACTGCTACAGACGAGAATGAATGCAGTGGAAACTCTCACCGTTGTCATGACAATGCAATGTGCACAAACACATTTGGCAGTTACAATTGCACTTGCTCCACTGGATATGTAGGCAATGGAGCGCATTGTCAAGGTGAGTCACGCTCTGTGGTGAGTTTAACCCCTTGTAGGATTTATATCGAGTATAGGCGTCATAACCACCACCTCCACCCCAGCCGCCGCCACCGCCGCCACCACCACCATCACCCCTAAGCCCGTCGTCACACTACACTCACGGACTCCCGTGTACGTCTACGATGAAAAATCCAAAACAAGTGGACGTATCATCAAACAGGCACAGTTCTCGACCCGTACACAAGTTCACATCTTGGAGAAATTTCAAAAGTTCAAGCTCACGTACAAGGTCGCTTGGGAAAAAGACTAGGAGACTCGGATACGCACGTTCATCCGTTTTAGTTGTGTACTCCCTCCTCTGCTCCTGCCACCTCTATGTTTTCCGTTTCCTCTGCTCCCGTTTTCACCCCGTTCATGTATCATCATGACAACCGCCCCAAAAACTCCTTACGTGAACGTAGACGCGCCTCGCTTTGTACCGTAGTGTGATGGCCGCCTCAGGAATGTGTTTTTAGGAAGGAAACAAGGACCACAGTGAACTGCAATGTTATTGCACGAGTTACTTAACTGGTGGTGTTAGTGGACATTATAGCGTAACTCGTACTTCCTCCGTTAACAAAAACTTCGTGATGGATTTTGTTGGATATGAAAACGCTTAGAACAGGTCAAGAACAGTTTGTATCGACTGCAAATCACTGGACGAAGTTGATTCAGCCTATGTACAGCGTCTTTACAAGAGATACTGTTGGCGGAATGAGCAGAGAGCTCAGTTTGCGTCGCTTTCGCTCGATTCATTTTTGACCTGCGTCGCTGTCGTCATCTGCTGCAAGCGAGTCGTCATCTGCTGTATGCGAGTCGTCATCTCTCTCGAGTCGTTGTTTAGCTCGTTTCAGCCTTGCCTCGGCTTCTTTGATCACACTCCGCTTGATGTCGCCGTCGTTCAAGTAAGTTTGCTTTCAAGCTGCGTGATCCGCCGCGATGGCGATTACTCGTTTCCACCAGGGAGTCGTGAAAAATATTTTACGACTCCCTGGTTTCATCTTCGCTCTCCAGAACTCCGCGAAACGAGGAATAAAGGCACAGCCAAACTGATTCCATTTTCTCTAATGGATACCAGCACTGAACGCCACCGGCTAGCAAGTCCAGTCAACTTTCTTTAGCCATGAGACTCGCATCGGACTGCAGACTTCTGAAAGAATGCATGGTCATCAGCATTCGAATCTGGGCTTTGCGCAGGTTGAACAAGAACTTGAGTTCAGAACAATTTTCATTGAGCCGTGCGATTGGAGCAGCTCCTTGTTCACTCGCTCATTGTGTGGGCTCGCTGCTCCGTTTTATCGCTCTCTATCACTCTCCAACGTACTCAGTGCAAAAGTGGTAGAGAGGCCAAGCAGCGCAATATCCCCTTGGAGAAGTGGTATTTCAGTTTCGCTCGCCATGACTGCCATCACCTATGTTTATACAGCGCAACCATCGATTCCGCTCGGTTTGTTGTGAAAGGTCGCTTTCCTTGCATCGTACCTCTGTCATGGCATGCCAGGGAAGGCCAAGAAAGTGATTGCGACTCATTTCACGGCAGTTTGTGCCCAAATCAGCCCCTCAAAATTCCATCACGAAGTTTTTGTTAGCGGAGGATGTAGTTCATTGGTCCTCTTATCTTCCTATAAATTCTTGTCTCACCATCCGAGTCTAACTGAATGTCCACTGGACATAGAGCACTCTACGCAGCCCGGACCTTAGACAACTGTGAATGTGTTTTTCTGTATTTTTGCTAGACGTGAATGAATGCACGGTGTTCAGTCCGTGTTCCGTTGACGCTCAGTGCACTAACACGAATGGAAGTTACGCATGTGCGTGTAACACCGGCTATTCCGGCGACGGAGTGAACTGTGAAGGTACGGCGTCGTCTTGCTGCAGACAGTTCTTCCTAGAGAGGATGGTCATTCGCCTGTTGACCATAATATGGGTGGACAGTCATTTAAAGATTAAACTGGGCTCAGTCAATTTTGGCTATAGCGTACCCTTTTTTTGTTTTCCACGATTTTATCACCATACCGTATGTGTTACTACAAGCGATATCATCCGCACACGTACGTACGTGTGTGTGTGTGTGTGTGTGTGTGTGTGGGTGTGTGTGTGTGTCCCATATGGTGCAATGGTATGTGCAGCGATTTCCAATCGATAGGTTGTGGGTTCGATTCCCAACGATTATGGTCACACACGTCTTTCTTCTCTTTCTCAGACTCCTCCGGACTTTTCTTTCATTCTCCTGGGTGGTTACCAACAGCCAGTGCATGCCGGAGTATGTGCATGTGCATGTGGTGTGATGTGTGTGAGGAAAAAAATAAATAAAAAAGACCAAAAAGTAGGGATTCACTGGCCAGAAAAGCCACTTCATAGCTGTGTGGTGTAGACCTGGCTGAATAGTGGCGGTCAATTCTTCAGCCGTGCAATCTGTTGAATGGTGCAATCCCAGCACAAGCTGCTATGGCTTCTGCTGTAGCATCGCTATCATCGCCTCCGGCGATGGGCGTCCAATGGTCCAATGGTGTGTGTGTGTGTGTGTGTGTGTGTGTGTGTATTGTTGGCTAAATTAACTCTTGTGTAATCAATGATGCTAGTGACACTTAGATCAGATCCACTCTGATTTAGCCACCCACACTAGTAGCAAGTATTACCTTCACTGGGGGCAGGGGTAACTGCAGTTGGATCCCAGGACGGATACCCTGATGCCGTCAATCCTTTTTCTGCACCTTGTCCTCACCCACTTACTGAGGTGTGGTGAGCCCATAAGTGGGATCATTTTCAAGTCCACCCAGAGTTTTGGGGATTTCAGGGGGTGTCGGCCGTTGGGCGGTTCAATAGCCACTTGAGTCATCTTTCCAAGATTCCTTTTGAGTCTCTCTCCCCTCTCCCGGGGAGACCCACGTGACCAGTTTTGGCAGTGTGCAACAAGTACAAGTGTATTGTTGTTGTTTATGTTTCTGCACACGTGAACGTTTGTGCATATACATACATGTGCACTCGTGCGCGGGCATGCTTGTGAGGGTGTACATGCTTGCATGTGTGCCTGCATTGCCATCATCCATCCATGTGCATGTGTGCCTGCATTGCCATAAATCCATCGATGTGTGAATGTGCGTGTGCATGCATCTACTACAGGAATAGTGGAGATGTGTGGTTGTTTAACCAGTATGCTCTGCGTTCACTGCTACAGATGAGAATGAATGCAGTGGAAACTCTCACCGTTGTCATGACAATGCAATGTGCACAAACACATTTGGCAGTTACAATTGCACTTGCTCCACTGGATATGTAGGCAATGGAGCGCATTGTCAAGGTGAGTCACGCTCTGTGGTGAGTTTAACCCCTTGTAGGATTTATATAGAGTATAACCGGTGCATAGCATTGCTGTTGTTGTCGGTGGTCTCCCCAGGACAAATTTGAAATTAGGGCGCAAAATCCTGCATTCTGGACACTTTTGGCATTGAAATAAAAAAGCGGTCCATCCAAAGCCGGACCGGCCAGACCGGCTGCGGCGCCCCTGTATAGTCGTCATAACCACCACCTCCACATCCGCCCCCTCCGCGACCACCGCCACAACCAACACAACCAACAACATTACCATTACCACCGAAAGAGCCCCTTCTTGATTTTCTTTTCCCCAAATTGATGGTTTCTATTCCAACCGGATCTTTGTCAATGAAAGGCGATGGGGTGGAATCCCACCACGGCTTACCCTTTCAGTGCCAAGGGGGTCAGAAAAATTCAAATTTTTCTGAGTTGAGCCAAACTCAAATTTTTCATAGCTCAGCTGTATATCCACGGATCTTTACAAACGATGGCTCTCTGGAAAGATATCATGGCCAGACAGACAGCTGTGAAGAGAAAATGCAGCGAAAATAGTCTTCCTCGCGAGGGCGCCTGAGCGAAGTCCGTTTTCTGCATTTTCGTAGCATCTGCACTTTCTCACGCGCGCGATCGATCACAGTGCAGTCAACGTTCAACGCACGAAATTCGGACAAAGTTGGCCCAAAAGCCACTGAAAATCTCGATGTTTTGATACCCAATACGCATGGGTTGCCGCGAAAGAAATAGAGAAACCCGCGATGCGCATACGTCATGTTTTCTACGCGCGACAATTGTTTGTCCGAGCGCGCGCACTTCAGGCTTCGCCCTGGCGATATCTATCCCCACGGACACAAAGCGATGTGATGAGTCGATAGCCAAGGTCTTCCTGAACACGTAGAGTGGTCGTTTGTAACTCTCCTGTGTGTAGAAGTGGAGATACGAATTTATTTGTACACACATACTCATTCTGGGCGACTAAAGTCGCCCGTGGCACTGAGAGGGTTAATAGGAGAATAAATACCCTATTTCCACAAATAGTAGGCCGGTCTACTGTTTTTTCAACCTCGTCCTAACCCGGCCTTATAATCGAGGACGGTCTTGTATTCGAGATGGTCTTGCATTCGAGGACGGTCTTGTATTCGAGGACGGTCTTTTATTCTTTCAACCCAGTTTGACCCCCGTCTTCTATTTCTCGCCACACAGTTTTACCCCCGTTCTTCCATTTTCTTCTACACAGTTTGAGCACGGTCTTCTATTTTTTCCCACAGTTTGAGCACGGTCTTCTATTTTTAACACAAGAACAAAGACTCATTTAGTAGGCCCGGTCTTCTAATCGGAGACAGTCTTTTATTTTTTCAATCGCCCCCTGCCCCGGCCTTGTATACGAGGAAGGCGTTGTATACGAGGACGGCCTTTTATTTGCGGAAATACGGTAGATTGATGAAAAACTCTAGTGAGTGGGAAGAGGATAATGGAAAACTTGTAAACTTTTGCTCCTCTCTTTTCTCTTTTAATTATGAAAAAATGTAACGAAAAAGGGACTGGTAACACGCTGAACGTTTGCCATTGAATCTTTGCGGGGTTCCATACGCCTGATGGCGGGTAGAACTATACTGGAACAGCTAGCTTCGTGTGTACTGCTACAACGATTGTTCACGTCATTCGTCTGTGTCGGATTTAACAATGGTCATTCGGTTGGGCTTGCTTGCCAATTTGTGAAGCATCTTAGGGGCCCGCCCATAACAGGTCCCCGCCGGAATAAGTCCGATTGGTCAGGTTATCACACCAACCTTTTGGTGGTCACCAACAATGTGTTCTACTGTGGCCTACGTGTGTGGCCGCCATAACATACACAACGTATGTGTTGCGTATCGGTTTTATTAGAAGGAAAGACTTTTTCTAAATGTCAAGTCCGTGTGGGGTGGATATGTGGGGGAGAGTTGTGACTTTCGTTCCGTGAAACATTTCGCTATGGCCGGATGGCCCCTAAGCCCGTCGTCACGCTACGCTCACGGACTCCCGTTTACGTCTACGTCTACGATGATGAATCCAAAACGGGTGGACGTAGCATCACACAGGCACAGTTCTAGATCTATACACGCGCGGTCACGTTTTGGAGAAATTTCAAAAGTTCAAGCTCACGTACAAGGTCGTTTGGAAAAAAGACTGGGAGACTCAGATACTCACGTTCATCCATTATAGTTGTGTACTCCCTCCTCTGCTCCTGCCATGTCTATGTTTTCCGTTTCCTCTGCTCCCACTTTCAAACCGCACATGTATCATCATGACAACCGCCCCAACACTCCTTAGGCTAACGTAGACGCGCCGCGCTTTGTACCGTAGTGTGATGGCAGCCTCAAGAATGTGTGTTTGTAGGAAGGAAAAGACCAGTGAACTACAATGTTATCGCACGAGTTGATTGTCAAGTAACTGGTGGTGTTAGTGGACATTATAGCGTTACAGTGAAACCTTGTTAGGAAGAAGAACACTGATACGACAAATGTTTGCTTAAGAAGAACTAGTATTCGTAACACCATTGGATAAATCACTGTATATTCACTGGGTATAACATACGGATAAGAAGAACTCCCGTTATTGCGAACAAATATCATCGGTCCCTTGGTGTTCGTCCTAAAGAGGTTTGACTGTACTTGCAGTTCATTGGTCCTCATATCTTCCTATAAATTCTTGTCTCACCATCCGAGTCTAACTGAATGTCCACTGGACATAGAGCATTATACGCAGCCCGGACCTTAGACAACTGTCTAGGTGTTTTTCTGTATTTTTTCTAGACGTGAATGAATGCACGATGTTCAGTCCGTGTTCAGTCGACGCCCAGTGCACAAACACCGGTGGGAGTTACGCATGTGCGTGTAACACCGGCTATTCCGGCGACGGAGTGAACTGTGAAGGTACGGCGTCGTCTTGCTGCAGACAGTTCTTCCTAGAGAGGATGGTCATTCGCCTGTTGACCATAATTATATGGGTGGACAGTCATTTAAAGTTTAAACTGGGCATGGCCAATTTTGGCTATAGCGTATTCTTTTTTGTTTGCCACGATTTTATCACCATACCGGACGCGTTACTACAAGCGATATCATCCGCACGCATACGTGTCTGTGTGTGTGTGTGTGCGCGCCCGCGCGTGTGTTCATATGCGTGCGTGTGCGACCACGTCCACACATGGTCATGTGTGTGCATGTGTGTGCGTGCAAATGACACTGTGCTGTACAATGTACCGTGGACATGCGGTGTGTTCATGTGTTCATGTGTTCATGTGCTTATGCGTGTGTGTTTCAGTCTGGTGATGCAATTTTTGCTCGATGGTCGGTGTTTTGTTTTGTTGGGCCATTTCTAGTCTACACGTCTGGGTATTTGGTGGCTTTTGGATCATTTTCTGATCTCCTGACCTCCAACCGCTTTAGGAGCTGCATCTGCGCCTTGATCATTGAAGGATGGCGGTGTTTCTACAGATGCGGAAAACTCGGCCTCTAGCCAAGTCTCACGCGAACCGTGATTTTTTTCTTTTTCCGAGGGACATGGTGTAGTTTCAACGTACCGTACTTTCTGGTGTGTATTAAAGCCGCACTGGGGTGTATAAGCCGCGCTCCGGTTTTTGGTTATGGAATAGAGACGTCTGTCTTGGATTTCACCGTTCATTTCATTATTGTAGTGTAAACAGTATCGGTTTTTTAAACAAGAATTGTGAGTGTTTGAAATGCGGCGTATACTCCGGAAGATATAGTATACTTCAAATTCTCTTCTAATTCCCCATGCTCATCCAATGCTCTTCCACGATCGCTATCCACCCCTACATAAACCTGCCTGCAAAATTTTGTGTTGGCAAAGTCAGAAAGATCGACTTGCACACTTGCGTTGGTATTCTCAGACATGCTCTCTCCATTTAGGGAACTTCACTTCTCAACTCCAAACTCCAAAACGATCTCTTCACTGCGATTAAAATTAATTTTTTTACATTAGGCCATGGTAAAAAAACTAAAGTTGATTCTCAGGTCATGAGCCTGTGAAAATCGGTGCGAGCGAGCGATTTTTTATTGTATTTCCCACAAATTTTTTTATTTCCAAAGATAGGGTCACACCAAGAGTACATAACCAAGAGTGTGCAACTCCTATCTTGAGCTGCGATGGGTTCACCCACGGCGGAATTTTTTTATTGCGTCATTTGGCAGAAGCATGACGAAGTGGGTATGCTTTCCCGCGCTTGTTTTGTAAATACGGTGAGAGTTCGTCAGGTTCAAGACACATCGATCTGTCGTCCGTTGTTCTGCTTCCACTACCGGTATACCGTAGCTGTAATGTACAAATTCGTTGTACTTTGATCTCTGGCTACGTATGATGGCATCGGTGAGCCAAACCGCCGCCAAAAACTGATGTCATAAAAAATTCCGCCGTGGGCTGGGAGATCGTCGAGTTGCACACTCTTGGTTATGTACTCTTGGTCACACATATGTACGTCATGGTCACATGTTCATAATTATTACATTCAGGCCAGGGAGTAGAAAAATACAGGTGTTTTACTACTCCCTGATTCATGCCTTTCGCATTGACCGTTTTCATGCGCGCATATGCATGCATAGAAATAAAAAAAATCGTCGGTGCGCCGCCAAAAATCGGTGCGCGCGTACTTGAGAATCAAAGATAATTTTTACCATGGCCTTACACCAAATTTTCGGTCCTGACCCATCATCATCAGGCTAATACAATTGCAGACAATTAGAAAATGCTCTCTCCATTTTAACTGGGTTTTTTTGGCGTTGTGTGCTTTGCAGAGGTGAACGAGTGCATTGCTTTAAGTCCCAACCCGTGCTCCGTTGATGCTCAGTGCACAAACACTAATGGAAGTTACACATGTAAATGCGACAAAGGATTCTCTGGCAACGGAGTGAACTGCAAAGGTACGCAGCCGTCGTGTTTTTTATATATATATATATATTTTTTTACTAGCAAACGCAGCCCTATTAATAGTCAGGGAAAGAGGACAACTGAAGTGACACTGGACAACAAGAAAAAGGGGAGCAAGGGCGATTTGCTGATGTGGTTGGCGAGGCGCATCCGACCGGACGTCTCGGGGTCATAAGGTAGCCTAAGATCAGGCATCGATAATAATGCAGCCAGGGAGTGAGTGATGTGGGCAGTTCTTCCATGGAAAGACAGCCGACACAGTGAGCTAAGACCATGATTGAGATACGAGGTGGATCCGGTTCAAGTCCTACCTGGGAGCGGTTTTTCCAGCTGCACTGCTACCCACAGTCAACTGGGAACTTGTGGCCAGGCACAAGGGGTACACAGATGCAGCTAGTGGGGTTTCTCGGCGCTTGTGCCAGTGGTTGTGAGACTTACCCCCCTTCCCCCCCCCCCCCTACACACACACCCCCACCGATAGGCACTCCCTGAGTTCTCACCCAACGTTCTATGCTGCCACCCTAGACAAGTTGCAATGACATCACTGTACTTGTCACGAGTGCCGGACCGGTTTGGTTGGTCAGGTCAACACCGGACCAACTTTGTGGCTACCAACACATGTTCACTGGTGAGGAGGGCACACGTCCCCGTCATATTCCTTCATCTTTCTGTGAGAACCGGACCTATGGGACGGTGAGAAGGCAATCATGCCTGTGCAATTGGTGAAGGAAAATAAAAATCAACAACAACATATTATATACAAAGTATGAAAGACATTGGTACGACCGGACCAATTCATAACAAACATTTCTATAATAATAATTATACCGCTTGCATGTCTTTATCTCTATACATTTCCTCATAATTAATTTCCTTCATCTTTCTGTGAGAACCTTCTTGTGCAGTAAGCCTGCACACCCCGCATGTTTTTCGTGTGTGATGAAGGTCGGGGTGCACGGACAAATAAATCTAGACAAAGAACCGGACCTATGGGCCGGTAAGAAGGCAATCATGCCTGTGCAATTGGTTAAGTAAAATAAAAGTCAACAGCAACAATTGAAAAATGCTTCCGGTAGCCTTTTTCTACAGGGATACGTCCATCCTTGTTCATATCACTTCCAGCACATCAACAGCCGTGCAAGTTGAGGGTATGACAAAGCCCTTTCGGCCAGAGTTCCCGGAGCACTACTGCAGTGCTAGGCTGCATTGTTTAATTCTGGAAAGTTCAGCTGGTTCAATATGTTTAGGGTAAGAGAGCTTTGTTGGCGAATGTGCGCACATGCACACATGCTCGTGTGTGTGTGCTTACACTCAACGTGTGTGTGTGTGTGTGTGTGTGTGTGTGTGTGTACGTGCGTGCGTGCGTTTGTGTGGGTGCATTATTGTGTGTACTGCAGATATTGACGAATGCAGTGTGTACAACGGCAATTGTGATGCAAATGCAAACTGTGCTAACTCAGTCGGTAGCTACTCTTGCAACTGTAACGTAGGGTTTACCGGTAATGGCAACCAGTGTACAGGTATGTGTGAAGAGAATGTTCTAGCTGTGAGCTGCAAACCAGAGAGATGGAGAGAGAGAGAGAGAGAGAGAGAGAGAGAGAGAGAGAGAGAGAGAGAGAGCGCGAGAGCGAGAGCGCGAGAGCGAGAGAGAGAGCGAGGGAGAGAGAGCGCGAGAGAGAGAGAGAGAGAGAGAGAGAGAGAGAGAGAGAGAGAGAGAGAGAGAGAGAGAGAGAGAGAGAGAGAGAGAGAGAGAGAGAGAGAGAGAGAGAGAGAGAGAGAGAGAGAGAGAGAGAGGGAGAGGGAGAGGGAGAGGGAGAGGGAGAGGGAGAGGGAGAGGGAGAGGGAGAGGGAGAGGGAGAGGGAGAGGGAGAGGGAGAGGGAGAGGGAGAGGGAGAGGGAGAGGGAGAGGGAGAGGGAGAGGGAGAGGGAGAGGGAGAGGGAGAGGGAGAGAGGGAGAGGGAGAGGGAGAGGGAGAGGGAGAGGGAGAGGGAGAGGGAGAGGGAGAGGGAGAGGGAGAGGGAGAGGGAGAGGGAGAGGGAGAGGGAGAGGGAGAGGGAGAGGGAGAGGGAGAGGGAGAGAGAGAGAGAGAGAGAGAGAGAGAGAGGGGGGGGGGGTGAGAGAGAGGGGGGGGGGTGTGAGACAGACAGACGGACGGACGGAACGACCGACGCACCGAAAGACAGGCAGACAGACAGACAGACAGACAGACAGACAGACAGACAGACAGACAGACAGACAGACAGACAGACAGACAGACAGACAGACAGACAGACAGACAGACAGACAGACAGACAGACAGACTGGCAGAGAGACTGGCAGACAGATGGACGGACGGACGTACGTACAGATAGACAAACAGACACACACACACACCCACACCCACACACACACACACACCCACACACACACACACACACACACACACACACACACACACACACACACACACACAGAAAGATAGACTAAAAAAGAAAGAGAGAGAGAAATCTTCCCTTGCAGGCAATGAGCGCTGTAGTTGCATTGAAACACCTTGTTTGAATGCAATTATTGATTTGAATAAAAGCCTTGCCCTTGCATCGACTTCTGCGGAAACAAACATGGCTTTCATACGTGCCATGACGGTATTTTATGCAATTTAGGGGAACAACCTGTACGCCCTATTGCACTTTTACACTTCCCTGTAGGAACTCTATTGCTTTCGCTATTCTGTGTAAGAATGTGGTATTCGGAGTGTAAACTTGTCAGTTTCGGGGACCTGGCTGGTTTCCGTTGTAACTTAAAGTTAAGTGACCAATGTACCCTTCGCACACAGTCCACACTCCTGTACCTTTTTGATGAACATGCCTGTGTGTGTGTGTGTGTGTGTGTTTGTGCATGTGTTTGTGTGTGTGTGTTTGTGTGTGTTTGTGTGTTTGCGTGTGTGTGTGTGTTTGTGTGTGTGTGCGTGCACGTGCATGCATGTGTGTGTGTGTATGGGCGTGTGCACACGTGTGCGTATGTGCCTTCATCTGAGCAGACGTCGACTGCGGACCAGCGCCGATTACGAACGGTCGATTCACACCTGCCTCGCCCACGACATACAACAGCTTGCAAACCCCAATCTGCAACTCCGGCTTTGAACTCAAGCCGGCTTATGTGACATCGATTGTCTGTTTGAATAACGGATCATGGTCCAACTCTGTTGCGTGCATAGGTGAGTGCGTACAATGAGGCCCGGCCCCGGGGCGTCCACAGGTGGGAGGTTCACAGGGCCAAAGATTCGCTTTAATCTATTCCTGTGGACGGTCATGATAGTGGTCGGCCGGGATGAATGGACGCCAAGCCGTTGAATGGTGTAGACTAGGGGGGAGTGAACAACAGAGACTTGCCGCGGGCCATCCCAATACCGGAACAACTTAGGGCTGTCGCCAGCTTGGGGGTATCGGTACCGCCAAACAAACTGTCCTACCTTCAAAGCATCGGCATTTGCTTTGAGATCATAGTTGGTTTTAGCATGACGTTCAGCGGCGGATCCAGAGTTCAGCCGAGGGGAGGGCGCGGGTAATATTCATGACAGGGAACCCATGCAGTACATGTATTTTGTACACATTACGACATAGCGGCTATTTTACGTCATAAGCTTAGCGGTTATGTAGAATTACTATTATTTTTAGCACATGCACTCACTAGTGCACTCGCACTTGTTCAACCACTTCATTGAGGACTCTGGCTGGGCTGTAGTAGAACATAGATGCACTACATTGAATTGTGTAAAGATAGTGCTTCAAAGCTCAAGACATGCTGAGATCGAGAACATAATGGCAAAATAATAAAATATACGATTACTTGGATGGCCATGTCCAGCAGTAAGAATGGAGTATGTTGTGTCCTACCCCAGGTGGGTTCTACTCGGACTCATCCAGCTCGATCACACTCACACTCGAGGCCATTACACATTTCAGTACATCTCAAACACCATATCCGAAAAAGACCAAGCTCACGTGCGAGCATGCGCACTGCATACATATGGTCCATGTCCAGGACATGACAATTTCCCCCTCACTAGTTGAGGCGAAGCATCTAGAACTATGCAATAGTAAACATATCAACATACAATCTCAAAACTCACAACTGCCGAGACATAATATCTCATGATACACTATACACCATATATACACCATAAATATATAATTATATACAATATCCAGCAGAGTCCAAAATATATCATTTTAACTCCACAGACTAGAATAGGTCTATATGAACTGTGTGTTCTGAACGTCAATCCTTGGAACGAACTGGTCGAACAGTAGCGCGGGTTGACCGTCGTTCAGCTTGCGGTGACGACGTCTTGCTGTAGCTGGCACGTGAAGTGCTAACCGACGCAGACTCACTCATACCGGTTGTTGCTGAGATCGGCGCGCCTAGCTCCGCTGCCGTGACACTGGCGTCGTTGTTGCTGAGTGACGGCTGTGCCTGGGCTGTTAAACTTGCTCCACTCTGCTCAGACACCCCTGCATCGAACTGAGGGATTTGCCGAGGACGGAGCTGGTTGCGATGGCGTTTCCACATTGCATCACCGACTTGTATCTGATACGTCATCGGACTGAGAACAGCCATGACCACGGCTGGGGCCCACTTATCTCCTCCTTTGCCGAAATTCAAAGCCAGGACAGCTTGGCCGCACTGAAATTCCGGGGTCCCATTGCCATTCAGCAGATTTCTTCACCAGATTGTACAGAGGTACCATTATTGTTGCGAAATGAGGTATGAACCGTCGCAAGAAATTCGCCGTTCCAATGAATGATTGAAGCTCGATAACATTCAAAGGAGCCTTAGCGTCCCGCATTGCCTCAATCTTATCCGCTGTAGGAGCCACACCAGCACTAGAAATCGTGTGACCCAGGTAGGAAATCTCATCCATCATGAAATGAAACTTACTGGGATTAAGCTTCATCCCGACCTCCTGTAGGCGACGTAGTACCCTGATCAGGTTGTTGTGGTGTTCATCCTCATCCTTCCCAGTAATCAGGATGTCATCCACATAGACGATGCACCCAGGCAGATCTGCCAATATGGATTCCATTGTGCGTTGGAAAATTGCCACTGCCGAGTGAATGCCAAACGGCAATCTCACGTATTCATACAACCCCTTGTGAGTCGAGATTGTCGTGTACGGCCGAGAAGCTGGATCAAGCTCCAGTTGGTGATAGGCTTGGGAGAGATCCAATTTGGTGAATTTATCTCCCCCGGACAATTTCGCTAACATTTCCTCAATAGTAGGTAGCGGGTAGTGCAGTGGTTAGGCTCCCTACAGATTCATTCATAGGAACTCGTTCTAAGACCAGACTCACGCTTTACCATTCAATCTGCAATTGTATCGAATTGCAAACCTAAAGGAGTGCAGTTTTGCAGAATAACTTGTAAGAATTGATAATCTCAGTAGTAACATGGAAATCGTGGGCACAAGTTATGCGATCGAGTCCGCCAACTAAACCAGATTTTGAACAGATTTTGACATGCACACTGATCTAGATTGATAAATGAGTTTGATACTGTTGCAGAGTGGATGAGAAAGAGCGGGTCTGCTCTGAACTACTTCCTATAGCTATCTTTGTTTGGCCAACGAAGATGATGAATACAGTGCGCGGGACCAAAAAATCCTCAAACCCGATATTAGATTTTGTAGAAAATCCTCTAACCTGAAACCAGAAAGAAATTTCCCGAACTTGATACCGGAAGACAATTCCCAAAACCGATAATTGAAAAATTCCAAACCCGGTATCCCAAGAAAATTTCCCGAATCCGATACCAAATTGAAAGCATGGCAACCAGTGGATCGCAAGGTATGCGTTCACAGAGTTCACCAACTAAACCAGATTTTGAACAGTTGGCCTGGTGCACAATTTAGCACCAGTCGGATAACTTGTGCCCCACTGTCTTCTATGTTTTCAAGTTAATTTAAAGTATTTCCTCAGCTCACCATCTGAGAGCCCGATAGAGAAAGAAAATTTCCCGAACCCGACACCGGACGAAAAAAAACTTAACCTGATACTGAAAAGAATTCCTGAACCCGACAAAAAAACCCCAATATGCATTGTGATTTTTGTGTGTGTACTGCAGATATTGACGAATGCAGTGTGAACAACGGCAATTGTGATGCAAATGCAAACTGTAGTAACTCAGTTGCTAGCTACTCTTGCACCTGTAGAGTAGGGTATACCGGTAATGGCAAGCAGTGTACAGGTATGTGTGAAGAAAATGTGCTGGTTGTGAGCTGTGAATGAGTGTGTGTGTGTTTGGGTGTGTGTGTGTGTGTGTGTGTGTATGTGTGTGTGTGTGTGTGAGTGTGTGTGTGTGTGTGTGCGTGTGAGTGTGTGTGTGTGTGTGTGTGTGTGTATTTGTGAGAGAGAGCACAGGTACGTGTGAAGATAATGTTGTAGTTGTGAGCTGTGAGAGCGCCTCAACAACCAAGTCATAGTGACCCCTGCATGGTGGTTGCGTCTGTCGATGCCACTGTGTATCTCTTTGTCAGTGTGTTTGTGTGTGTGTGTGCGTGGGTGTGTGTGTGTGTGCGTGTGCGTGTGCGTGTGCGTGTGTGCGTGCGTGCACGCATGCATATGTGTATGTCATATATTGGCTACAGACGTGAACGAATGCAAGGCAACACCAGGTGTGTGCCGCAAGAACTCCGACTGCGTCAACTCCATTGGCAGCTACGCCTGTCCTTGTTTGCCCGGATTTGGCTCGGTAAACCAGGAATGCCAGGGTGAGTCTGCCAGGTTTGTTACTAGTCATCCAGACCATTAAATCGTTGTTCTTTTTCCTTTCTTTGTTTCCTTCAACAACACTGCCCCACCGCCACCGGGAAAAGGAGAACGGGAGAACATGAAAAGGACAATAGGGAACAATGGGATGGTGTGTGGTACAGGGTGACCATGCTCTGTACGTGTGCATGGAGAATGAATTTTAAAACATGGAAATTGTGAGCACAAGTTCTGCGATCGAGTCCACCAACTAAACCAGATTTTGAACAGTCGGACGTGCACAATCTAGCACAAAACTGACAAGGAGTACTGAGACATTCCACGGCATTAAAGTCAGCTTGAGCACTGCTCGATAGCGCTCACCAGCGGCCTTCCAACTTGGAAGGTTCATGGAAGGTTCACGGTATAATAATTTATAATGAATTTTCTTGGAGATACCGCTGACTGACCCTGAGCTAAGAAAAGACAAGCTTCTGGCTCCGAGTTTACGATCAACATTTGCCCTGTTTTCACAAGCACTTCAGTTGCCTTCTCTTCACATGGATACAGACCACAGAAGAGGACACTAACCAGCACAATGCTTTATAAAACAATTCCCTTATTGGCCACAGGCCATCATGAGAATAAAAGATTTCAAACGATGTAAATGCAGTTAGTTAAACAACCAGAACTCCATGAAGGTTGAAGGCTTTTGACTCGGGTTTTTTTGCACACTGGGATCTGCTGGCAGCGTTAAAAATAGGTTAAAAGCAAGAGTACATAACCCCCCAGAGTGTGCAACGCCGATCCAGCTCTGTGTAGGGTCTTGGTCGAGCGGAATCGGATCTTCTGATGTCATGCGTACACTCCACACCAGTGCAAGGCCGGTCTCAAGGCAGGGCACCATTGTTTTTGATCGAAGAGTACCCGCGACTCCCCGGGTTCCCCTCAGGTTTGTACGGTATTATGACGCGAAGATCCGATTCCGCTCGACCAAAACCCTATGCAGAGCTGGATCAGGCGTTGCACACTCTGGGGGGTTATGTACTCTTGTTAAAACTAATCATGGGTCGTCCGTAAATATCGAAAATTTATCACGAAACGAATTATTTCGTTCAACCCAACCCCTCCCTCCCCGTCAGAATACTGGCATAAACTTCCTTTTTGGAACTGAGGCACGTTTGGTGGGCACTCTCACTACAGGCTGGCCACGAGCCCCCATTGGCTATCGTCATGTTAGCAGTCTTGTGCATAGGTTTCTGAATGAGAAATGCAAAACCGCTTGGTTGCATAGCGCGGAAGAAGAGCTCAGTGGACTAGTCTGGGATTTTGGCAGCTTTTTTTTAATTTTACAGTGAAACCTGTCTAGGACGACCGCTCAAGGAACCTTCAAAACGTGGCCTCTTTTACCAGGTATATTCTTGTCCAGGATTATTTGACTGGAAATAGCATCCATTGAACCAAGAGTACATGAAAACCAGAGTGTGCAGCTTGGGGCCTTTTCTACTATGGGTGTCTGTCACGGCGGAATTCCGTGATTACATCATATTTGGCGCAGATCTGAGGCGGGAAATGGCGGAGTGCGTACAACTGAGCTGCAGTTGTGCAGAAAGAGACCTGCTCGAATCCTGCTTGTACGCACTACATCACTAAAATGATGTAATCGCGGAATTCCGCCGTGACAGCAACCCATCCGAGCTGCACACTCTGGTTTTCATGTATTCTGGATTGATCATTATTTGTAGTGCCCCTATTGGACAGGTGGTCGCCTTATCCGAGTGGTCGCCTTGATAGGTTTTACTGTATTTGATTTCAATCAACTCGTGGTCCATGACCAATTGGCACACAAAGTGCGAGAGAGGGGTGATAGCCAACCAGGCTTCACTGCGGGACTAATTACTTCTTCACTGTTTTGTTTTCTTTCGTTTTGCTTATCATTGCACATACACACCCTCCTCACATGCACGCACATGCTGCACGCGCGCACACATTCACGCGCACACACATGCACGCACACACACACACACGTCAACACACATACACACACGTGAACACAGATGTGGATTACTGCCGCGTCATGCCACCGCCGTGTATACAGACGGCGGAATGCCTGGACGGGATACAGACCTTCACCTGCAGTTGCTCAAAGGGATACTCTGGCAATGGAAGCTACTGCGAAGGTCAGTGACCCTGCTTGGAAGCTTCCCTTTTAGAGAAGGTTCATCCAAAATCCCGCACCCCAATCTTTTGGTGTCTTGCACCTACAGTGCCAGATATCATGAAAACAGCAGCACATCCTGCGTTGTGTGACCCGTGCTATTCCTCATTGCCACAATCGAGGCTGGAAAAGTCAAATCTGGACTTAGAAATTTGGCCAGGTTTTGCGAAATTCGGGCAGGTTTATCATGCTAAATTTCATCAAGAGGCCCATGTTTTCGAATTTATAGTTGGTTTTGAGCCTGTAACGTTATTCGGTCAAAATTGGCCTTTCAAAAGTTAACGAGACTGCTCCAATTTCAGAACTTTTCAGTGCTCAAGATGATTGGGATGAGGGCAAAAGGCCAGGTTAGGTGGACAGAAATGTTTGGTCCAGAGAAGCAGTTCCATATTTGATGGTGCTCTTGTGTGTGTGTGTGTGTGTGTGTGTGTGTGTGTGTGCGCGTGTGCGTGTGCGTGTGCGTGTGCGAGCTCGCTCGTGCGCTCATGTGTGTGTGTGTGTGTGTGTGTGTGTGTGTGTGTGTGTGTGTGTGTGTGTGTGTGTGTGTGTGTGTGTGTGTGTGTGTGTGTGTGTGTGTGTGTGTGTGTGTGTGTGTGTGTGTGTGTGTGTGTGTGTGTGTGTGTGTGTGTGTGTGTGTGTGTGTGTGTGTGTGTGTGTGTGTGTGTGTGTGTGTGTGTGTGTGTGTGTGTGTGTGTGTGTGTGTGTGTGTGTGTGTGTGTGTGTGTGTGTGTGTGTGTGTGTGTGTGTGTGTGTGTGTGTGTGTGTGTGTGTGTGTGTGTGTGTGTGTGTGTGTGTGTGTGTGTGTGTGTGTGTGTGTGTGTGTGTGTGTACGAGTATGCGTGTGTCTGAGTGAGTCTGCATGTGTCCGTGCGTGTGTGTGTCTGCATGTGTATGTCTGCGTGTATATAGACGTAGACGAATGCTCGCTGGGCTCGTCGTCGTCGTCATTGTCGAGATACCAATGCCCGGTTAACTCCCACTGTAATAACACTGTCGGAGCATACACTTGTGTGTGTGATCCGGGATTCACCAAGAACACCCTTGGCCAGTGTGAAGGTGAGTTCAGGAGAATGGCTATAGTACGGACGCCGAAGGACGACCAGGCTAGAATATCATCAAGCACAGCATACCAATGTAGACATGGTGACTCAACTGTGCACAGACTATGACACATGAAAACAAGTACGGTCTCGGCTAGGAGGCTGACCCTCACCCCCAGTTCTTCGGCGACCGACACTACCGTACCACCCAGCATCTTTCTATCCTTTTCCTTTTATTTTCACTTTCTCTTTGGCTTCTTCCTTGTCATAAGCCGTTGACGGGGACTCCCACGATTGAGGCCAAGGCCAGTGAAGAATCCATAAATAAAAGTACAACTTACAAAAATGCTAACAGTGGGTGTCCTGGTTTACTGTGGGAGGTGCCCTAATATCTAGTCCACTGTAAAGTCAACAAATATGCGGCGCGCACTTTTTTCGGCTATTTTCGACCTGGGCACTTTCAGCCTTTTAAAAATTTAATTTGTTGCGGCTGAAATATCGTTTTAGCAAAGTTCAGTGTGACAGTGTATATACAGGCAGCAGCAGTGCAGCCTGTGCGGCCTACATGTGTTCTAACGTTAGCCCTGGGAGGCAGAAATCTGTAGACTTTAACAGACGCCATGCTGGCTCCCCTCAACCCCTGCATGGATGGGTCACATGATGTCGTCCATGTTGGTTCCAACTCCCCTCAAACCCTGCATCTGTGGGTCACATGACATCGGCCATGTTGGTTCCAACTCCACTCAAACCCTGCATCTGTGGGTCACATGACATCGGCCATGTTGGTTCCAACTCCACTCAAACCCTGCATCTATGGGTCACATGACATCGGCCATGTTGGTTCCAACTCCACTCAAACCCTGCATCTGTGGGTCACATGACATCGGCCATGTTGGTTCCAACTCCACTCAAACCCTACATCTGTGGGTCACATGACATCAGCCATGTTGGTTCCAACTCCACTCAAACCCTGCATCTGTGGGTCACATGACATCGGCCATGTTGGTTCCAACTCCACTCAAACCCTGCATCTGTGGGTGACATGACATCGCACATGTTGGTTCCAACTCCACTCAAACCCAGCATCTATGGGTCACATTATGTCGGCCATGTTGGTTCCACTGTCCACTCACCCTGTGATCACTTTCTGCACAAATTTATTCACATGACAAAGATGTGAAGCCAAATCTTTTCAGCTTTTTCCTCGAAGATGAGACCGACCATTTGCTTCAGCTGAGCATCGGCACCAGGCTCTGTCTCCAAATAATTATTATGGTTGTGCGCTATGCTGCATGTACATGCATCTCTTTCCTCCGTATAATTATATTCTTGGTCATATGCTGTCTGATGAACGTTTCACACGAAACTCCCGAGTATTAAACAGCGGAAAAAGATTTGTTTGCTTCATTGCTGTGTGCTGCATGTATTTCTTTCCGCAATGCGTGCAGACATAGATGAATGCCAGGCTGGTGTGTCGGCCGTCTGCGGCGCAAACGCTCTCGCCTGCACGGACACGGCCGGTTCGTTTAGCTGCACGTGCCGCTCGGGATATCGCTGGACCGGCAGAGCATGCGACGGTAATCAGACTGCTGTTGCTGCTGTTGTGCTGTGTGCACTGTGCACGGTGCATGGCTGTTTAGTTCCCGAACCAAGCTAATTATTTGTTATGGAGGAGCAGAACACAATTCAAGTGCTGAAAACAATTGCATGAAAGGAAGAATGTGATAAGTAAATTGCAACCCTACTCAAATACAACAATATTCGATGAAGCGAGTGCTATCGAAATACCGCGTACTGAAGCCATGCACGATCACTGCTGTAGTAGCTAATGTCACTGTGCCACAGTGTGTATAGACATCTGGTTTAAAAAAAAAACGTTAAGCCAGATCTGTGATTACTTTGTGCATAGAAATTTCCATTTTGGGTTTTGTTATCCAATTGCATAGAAATCTATAATATGAGAAAAGTTGGGGAAATTGCCTGAGCGATATCCCGAAGAAATTTCTGAAAAAGCTCAAGCCGCAAAATTTGAATTTCGAAAAAGAAGGTGTCAGCTCCGAAGCTATCCACACAGTCAAGTAAGCCAATTGGGTAACCGAACGTTTTCGTTCCTTTCTCATCATGGGTAAGTACAGGGAATAATGGAAAAATGGAAAATACAGCAACTTATAGAGCTACAGCAAAAGCATAAATTGAGGACCTCACGCTTTACGAAATTTGAATTCTTCGAAAATGTCTAGAGGCTTATAAACCTTATGCTTTTAAAACCTACTATAGACTTCTATTGAACGCAGGATTTCCGTCAAACCATGTATTCCTCTGTATGTCAACAATAGAGCTAGGCTCACGAGACAGGCTTTGATATGATTTTTCTTGTAAACTTCTCAAGTGCAGTTTGGAGCCAAAAGTGTTTTGCATGATTGTGACTAGTGCTATCTCCGCTCCCTGAACATTGTTTTCACGTTTTTCTCATTTTGTTCTTGTGCCCTGTTCTTATGGCAACAGACATTGACGAATGCCTTGACGGCAGTGCGGTGAGCCGTGACCCGCAGTGCATTTGCAGTAACAGCGTCGGCTCCTACACGTGTAAATGTCAGCCCGGTTATCACCTCAGCACCAATACCAGCACCATCACCACAGCCACCACCAGCTCCAGCAGGACTGTGACCGCCGGCCCTGCTGTTGCCAAGTGCATAGACACAGACGAATGCCTGACGTACTGTACTGACAGAAGCATGTCATGCTTCAACACGGTGGGCAGTTTTTCATGTCTGTGCGCTGACGGATATCAGCAAGGGGGCAGCGAGTGTGTGAATATAAACGAGTGTTTACAATCGCCGTGTTCAAAGAACGCTATGTGTGCCGATACCACACCTGGATTCCTGTGCACCTGTCACACGGGGTACACCGGGAATGGAAAGGTCTGCGTGACAGGTAAGTGGACATTCTAGACTCGCAATTGCAATCGTCACGTGACCAACACGGAATGTTGAGTCGATGGGCAGGGGTAGTGTCACACATGGTATGACCAGTATGACCATGCTCGCACCACTTCTCATCCAGGATGGTCCGCCCAGAGCACCTTGTGGAGCGCTACAACGTGTCCTGTTGGCCGAAAAATCCGATTTTCCCCTGGGGAGATCCCCCGAACCCCAGTTGTACAACTCCCAACTGCCCTGTGGTGCCCCTGGATGTAATCATGGATAAAAAAAGAAAGGACAAAATGTTTCGAGTTATAGGGGATTCACACGACTGGCAAACTCACATGTGTGGTACTCTTTTTACTCGTGTGACCGTAGCGCGTGCAAAATCTTGGTAAACTGGATCGGGGATCCTAGGCCCACGTTTGTGCTTTGCGCGCGCATGTAAAAACAGCGAGAGTACTTGAGTATGGTACTCAAGTTACATGAGCACGCAGACGGATGCGAGATTTGCACGGGTCTGTTGTCGTGTGAATCCGATGGGCAGCCCGGTGTCCACTTTTATACAAACGTGTTTTCGTTCATTTTCACATCGTGTGAATACCCTATCATGACCAACTGTCCTCCAAGTTGACCAGATAATGCGCAAACCAGCGAGTGTGACAACACGGCGCACAACTGACAGGGAGTGCTGAGACATTCAATAACTTCATGTCTCATGCCTCATGCCTCAGTGCTCCCTGTCAGTTGTGTACCTGTTGTCGCACTCTCTTATTATCTGGTTAAATTGGTGGCCAGTTGGTCATAACTCGTAACGTGTTGTCCTCCCTTTATTTCCTGATGTGCCGAAAATTATTGCCTGGTGAAAAAATTGCCCTCCCCCCCCCCCCCCCCCCGATTGTTATTCGAATCTGTTGTCGTTTCAGACACAGAGACAAGAGTGTTTGTGTGGAGAAATGGGAGAGAGAGAGAGAGTGTGTGTGCGTGTGCTTGTGCCGTGTATGCATGTGAGGTGTGTGTGTGTCTGTGTGTGTGAGAGACACACAGAGAGAGCGAGAGAGAGTGAGAGAGAGAGAGAGAGAGAGAGAGAGAGAGAGAGAGAGAGAGAGAGAGAGAGAGAGAGAGAGGCAAGAGTTTCCAGGTTTTCACTTCAGGGAAAATTAACACGTGCGCTGTCTCCAGCCCACCTGTTACAGAACGCGAAGAGCGAAAGAGATTTTGAAACGCTGCGCTCCAAAAATAGAACATTCGGCTCCGGCCGTGTCTACTCGGCTCCACCCTGAATCGACTCTCGTAGATACTTGGCTCCGCCAATATTCTGCTCTGGCACTGTCTACTCATCTCTCTCCGTAGCCTCTCGCTGCGCTGGCCGGCACTCCCCCGTACCGCAAGTTGCTGTGTGTTGTAGTTAATGTGTGTATGTGTGTGTGTGTGCGTGTGTATGTGTGTGCAGACACGATAACCTGCAGTGCCTTGGAGAGGTATGAGCCGGCATCGGGCAAGTGCACTGCCTGCACCTGCGACCAGGCCGGCACGCTGTCCTGCGACACGTTCAACGGCTCGTGCAGTTGCCGCGCCAACGCCCAGGGCGCCGCTTGCGACCAGTGCATAGCGGGTCACTATCGCCGGGACGACCAGGCCGCGGACCAGTGCCCGTCGTGCGGTTGTCCTGGCGACCGAACGACGTCATCGGTGTGTGATCAGAGTACCTCCCAGTGCCACTGCCTGCCGGCGTACGCCGGTTTCCGCTGCGACTCGTGCAACCGTGGCTTCTACAACCGGAGTAACGTGTGCGTTTCGTGCGCGTGCAACGCGCTGGGATCGGTGGAAACAGCGTGCCATGCGAGCACGGGACGATGCCAGTGCAAGCAAGGGTACACCGGAGAGAAGTGCGACCAGTGTGTGGTCGGGTTTTATCGCCTGACAAATGGCGTGTGTGCAGGTGAGTCGGCATAATCGTCTAAAGCGTAAGGTAAACAGGGATTGTTTGTCCCAAACCGCGTGTTGTGTATTTTGTGATGTACCCTGCCATTTCTTCATCATCACACTATTGACAGTCTAGCCACACAGTTGGACGAGAAGATGAGTTGGCATACTCGCCTAGAACTTGACGTATACAAGGGGTTTTGTTGAGTCCCGAACTGTATACTATGCATCGTGCCTTGTACCCGCCATTTCGTTATAATATTTAGAATCTAGCAATTAATGATGCACTCCTATCAAAATGACATATTCTCTATGCCTCGTTTCATACCTTTCGTCTACCTCCCTGCCTCTCTCTCTCTCACTCTCTCTCTCTCTCTCTCTCTCTCTCTCTCACTCTCCCTCTCTCTCACCACCTCTGTTTCCGTCGCTCTGTCTTGCTTCATCTCACTATATCCTTCACGTAACTGTCTTCCAGATTGTCAATGTGTCACAGCCAATACCTCTCAGCCAGGCTGCAACTCCTCGGGGCAATGCTATTGTGACGCAAGCAGTGGAAGGAAGTGTGATATCTGTCCCCATGCCCGCCAGTACCTAACTCAGTCAGGATGTACAGGTATGTGCATCATCTATGTGGGTGAAGCAGCCTCGATGATACACAGTATTTTCCGGGGTATGAGTCGCACGAGGATATAAGCCGCACCCATATGTTTTGAGGTTGGTTGCTCCAACGCGGAGCACACGCTTCTTGCCGAACTTTACACTTGACTGACTCACGACTGCCATCCGGAGCACACTAGGAGCACGTCGCACCCCATATTTTTTTTTGTCACGAAATATAGGCATCCTGCCTGTTTTATGTTGACCACCTTTAATTTTTGACGATTGTTGTATAAGGCTTTTCTTGGTTTAATCACCGATGTGCTGCTTATACTCCGGAAAATACGGTAAGCGACAATGTCTATTTCTTCCAAACTTTTATCAAACACGACCTAATTTCCAATTTCACTCAAAATTTGCTTTTTTGCCCCTGGCCTGGGTGGACCTCATTCACCCCCTATAGCACTTTTCATTTAAGGTATGTACACAAGAATGTTCGCTGAGCCTTCGCATACTGAAGAAACAGATGAAGCACATGTGTACTTCGAAGTACTAAATATGAGATGCGGTGATCATTTGAGGTGCCTAAGGTCGATCTTGATGTCTCCGTTTTTTCAATGTGTGTCTACGTGTCTGCATGTATTTGTGCTTTTGTGTGCATGTGTGCGTGCATGCTTGCGTGTATGCATGGGCCCTATGTGCACTATGCGCCCTGCGCGTTCGTCACTAGACGATACCGACTTTCCGTCCATCGACCAGAAAGTACCGTTTGGAGCGTCGTCTAGCTATGAAATACCTATCATACCTATACCTGTTGGTCAGCAAAGAACACTTCAATCTAGTGTGCATGTAAGTTTTACAACAGCAATTTACTACTACATTTGAGAAGTTCCGCATAACGTAAATACTTTAATAAAAAACGTAGTAGATCTACGGAAAGTCTTACGTAAACTGCATGCGCATCTGTGTTCCGCCATACGGAGTTTTCAAATCACGCAGCTGCCCTTGGCAACTTCGAATGCGGCACTGTACGCCCGTATCGACCTGGGAGAGAGTCATACATTCGTACCCCAATCCACCAATACGGAGCAGGTACGTTATCAGAGCCTTATCGACGTGCTCTCCGTAGACAACTTTCCGTTATTGGAGTGCAAACTCGCGAATTCACGGGTTTTTCCGGCCGACTAACGTAAAGTTGCTCAACTTTACGTAGTGCGGAATCTCCCTAATGTATCACCTTGGTGTTGTCCTTCCCTTTTTTCCTTTTTTTCTTTTTGGGTTTTTTGATCACAGGATTGAACTTTGAAGCTTCAGTGGCCATCCGGCATAATATCGATAATTTCGAAAAGATTGCGAAAGGTTTAGTTTTGACCCTCCCCTGAACGAGAACTACATTGACTTGACAGCTAGAATTGATTGATGTTTTAGCTATCAGCATGTAAAGGTAGACATCACCCTATTCAGAATCCAAAGCACATTTTAGGATTTGAAGGGTCCAAAACATCAGATTTTACACTCTCTATTCTTTATCCACAGACGATGCCGTTTAGAACGACGAAACGTCTGGAAAAGTATCGTAAGAATATTCCGTCTTTGTTAGTCAATGTATCACTGTTGGTCTAAAAGAGAGAGAGGATTTTATTGTTTAATTTGTTGTCTTCTATCAATCCTTCAGGTGCACAAGAACGGCTTCCTATCGTTCTCCAAGTTTACCGGTCGCTTTGCTGACCCCTCGCAGCTAACGGACGCAACAAAGATGGTAGCAGCGATGTGGACAGACTTGGAGGATATGCCGTCGGATGACGATGTAGCATCATCTGTACACTTTAGGCTGTACACGAACGTGTCGGATATCAACGCCACTGCTATTCCGTCGGCCGCTCGCCTTCCAGCACCTGCGGGATCAGCCGCGTTCGAGCCGACGTATGCCATTGTGGTGCAGTGGAAAGGCGTGCGACCATCCAAAGACTCGGCACACGTGAGTGGTTGAGTTCTCTGGGTTTGTGTGCTTGATCATATTTTCGCCATGTTCTGTGTTCATGGTTTCTGGCGTGCACCATCCAAATGGGGCACAGGAGGTGCGGCAATGGCTTGGCGCCGAAATGTCATTTGGAGGGGCCGAAGATTCTAATTCAAATTCCTGTAGCACTGGTGAAGGGAATGAGAAATGATGAAGACGTGAGGGGATTTAACCAATCGACAAGGAGACAATAGTCGTAAAATGGCAATAAATAAGATCAAGCACAATTGTGCACTCATATTTATATATAAACAACAGCAAAAAATGTTCCACTGATGAAAGTCACCAGAAAACGTTATGGAACTTAACTTTCTTTTTTTGCTGTTGTTATGTGTGCACAATTTATCTTATTTATTGCCATTTTACGTGGGGGGGGGGGGATACACATGTTTTGGTTCCCTTATCCGAACATACTCCTCATCCAAACTCCCTGGAGACCCCGAGGGGTGCGGATAATCGGCACTCCACTGTACCACATCAGGGTCGTGTGGCAATCCGCACAGCTGCAGCTCTGTGTGTATGACATAAAGCAGTGCATCAGAACCGTGCTCACGCATTCACACACCTGCCGATAATGCTCTGAATACGTGTTAGAGCCAGGTGTTGTCTGTGTGAGCTGTAACTGTACGGACAACTAGCGCCCGGATGCATGCACACGTCAACCTTCCCATGTATCTAATCTCGAACCGTCCTTCTTTCCCAGTTACACCCCCTCCCCTCCTACACACACACACACACACACACACACACACACACACACACACACACACACACACATACACACCTACACACACACACCTACACCCCCCCCCCCCCACACACACACACATACACACACACACACATGCACACACATGCACACACAGACACACACACAAGCACACACGCACACACACACACACACACACACACACACACACACACACACACACACAGCACATGTTTCTGTGGTGCACTTGCCATATCCTGGATGTACATTATTACGTGTAATGTCCTCCAAACTACACTCTTCTGGTTGGAATGACACAGTTCCCTAGTAGTTTTGGAGAGGACCGGTGATTTTCTCTATAATGTGCCCACCTAACATTTAGAAGACCTCTGATTGGTTTTTGCGGTTGTTGTCCCGTGATCAATGTGTCCTGTCCTGCAGCGTAACAGCTTTCAGGTGTCGATACTGACGGACGGCTGCGAGTCCCACGCCACGCTCTATTATCCGCCACATGCCACCACGTTTGTCGGTACCCAGCCGCAGCTACCCGTGATCGGCGCCTGGACGGCGCCCCGCAACCTGTCGGGTCTCTCGGCAACCGACCTGCTACGAGAACTGAACGCCGGTGCCACGTACACATTCCCTCTAACTCCGCCATGTGCCACATCATCGCCAATGGCAACCCCACCGCCACCGTTGCCATCGGCGACGACGTGCTCCGTGCCGCCGTCGCCGTTCGCGGTCGCCTCTCGCGAAGACGTGCCGTCGTGTCCCTATGACAACAAGATGGCCGCCAGCTCGTTCCTGTTCAGCGCAGTCGATCACCTGGGCAGCGCGCAGTCAAACACCACCGTCTGCTATCGCACCGCAACTATCATGCCGTCTGATTCGGGTGACACCGACGTACACCTGGTAAGGTAGAGTGTACGCACAGTGAGCACGTTTGTTGTTGTATTCACACTCAGCACCGGTGGCAGTAGTTTTTGATTGATCCGTCCATACCAAAATAATTATATTATGTGAATGCGTATGAGCGGGCTACGTTCTTTCTCCCATTCTGCAGATATGTTGCTATGACGTAGGTGACGACTCCCTGATTACGTACGGCCGATACCATCCGTACTTGAACATGTACTCCAACGACTCGGCACAGCTGCAGGTCTGCGCCGACCGTGGTCAGCTGAGCAGGTTCTTCGCAGCGCGACCGTACCCGTACTTTGCCTCCACGCGCATCGGCGTGCGCACCCAGCGCCCTGGGCAACGCGTCGCATCTCTCTATACACATGGTAGGTAGCATAGCAGGAGGACTGCTGTAGAACATATCCATATATTTTATAACCGGCGAGGAGACAATAGCCGTGAAATAGCAATGAAGAAAATTAACTCGGCACTCATAACCAGGGAAGACCTTACACACACCATCTTAAATCCAAGTGGTCTCTTCAATCCAAGTGGTCTCTTCAATCCAAGTGGTCTCTTCAATCCAAGTTACAATAGTTACCTCAATCAACTGTTTGGCCATAACTACGTATAAAACAATTATTAAGGAGGCTCCGAACAGTTGCGCAGTTCAGTGTAAAAAGGGCACCTCCGAAATCTGTTTTTGGCCGCGAGATTCGAAAAATGTTGTGTTCCATGCGGAAACAAGCTGTTGTTCAGAAAGAAGTTTTTTGATTTCTCTGTGCTCGCAGTTGTTCCAGGATGTAGTTCTACTTGTTGCAGTGTTTCTGTAGCCATGGCTGTTTCTACGCTGGAAAGAATCACTGGCCATGGCTAATGCAAAACAAAGGCAGTTCCTACGCTGCTTGATTTTTTGGTGAAAACTTTGTTGAAGCGGTACGATGTGGCCACGAAGAACAAATATATTACTGACGAAGAAGGGTGAGAAAAGCAGGCTGAAGTCAGTGAAGACATCGATGTCGAACGTAGTGATACTAGTACTGGTACTGGAATTTAGCATGGACTACCTGTGGAGCGTGAAGTGGCTGCCCACTCGCTGGTAAGTGGACCCACTTGCAGCTCCAGTCGCACGAGTGCCGTTTGAAACTTTCTGTGGATCCTAGAGTATCCTGAGCTCAGTGGACGACGCATCTCAGAGCTGCTGAACTTGGGCTACTGTCCCTGTAGGAATGAGGTTCGTGTCAATCACTGTACTGCACTGATGGTGTAAGGAAAACGCTGGCCAGAAGCTTGTGTTCTGAACCAGGGACGAACTTCTAAATCCTGCTTTTGTAAAAATGGGGATGCCACAACTAAGATGTGCACACTCAGGTGTGTATTGGGTAAATGCCTGTGGTTGATTATTTTGAATCCTTTCCTATGCGCAAGTACATGCGTTTGTGTGTGTGTACGTGCGTGCGTGCGTGTGTGTACGTGCGTGCGTGTGTGTGTGTGTGTATGTGCGCGCAAGCGAGTGTGTGTGTGTGTACGCGCACGCATGCGCGCGCGCGCGCGCGTGTGTGTGTGTGTGTGTGTGTGTGTGCAAGCTGTTGAAAGGTGTAATCCGAGCACAAGTTGCTATGTCTAACATAGTTTGTTCGCTATCCTCGCTTCAGCGTTGGGCAGGTGTATGAGTGTGTGTGTACGCACGTGTATGTGTGCGCGCGTGCTCGTGCCCGCATGTGTGGGTTCGCACGCAATGTTGATCTGGGTTATGCACATGTCCCCACGAGTGCACTGTGTGCATGTGCATGCAAATGTCTGTGTACATGTATGTGTGTATGCACGTGCATGTGTGCGCGCGCGTGTGCAAAGCTAGGTGTGGAAGGGGGGGGGGGGGGAGGGGCTCACGGTGCTGGTTCTGTATGCCTCTCCTCTCTGGTGTCCGCAAGGACAGTGTGGTAATGGCTTTACAGTACAGGAGTTGCATGTGAATGCGCATTTGTGAACCATATTTGAGACACAAAAAGAATTGCCGAGAGAGCATGACAGTACACTACATGTATATCGTATGTGTGCACGCCAGCGTGTGTAGATGCATATTGCCCTTCATGCGTATGTTTTTCTGGAGTCTGCTGCTATCAACGCAAGTGACAACCAGCAAATGCATGCCCAGTGCAGTGGCTGGTCTTCATGCTTTTATTTACACCAAGTCCTACTATGGACTAGTAGTGTTACAATGATGCGTGCACGAGAGTGCGTGCATGTGGGTGGGTGTTTATGTGCGTGCGCACGCACGCGTGTGAGTGTTTAGTGTGCCTGATTTTGAATGCCTGCTTTCACATTATTCATGTGCCAGTTTCATGGTCGAGGTTGTTATGAAACCTCGCTGCCTGACATGTACCGTAAAGTACCGTTGATCCGCCCCCACGCCATGTCGCTTCCCAGCTGGGTTTCGGCAGGGGGCGGGAATTAGATCAAGGCTGTCAAGTGCAGTACGATGTACAACAACGTAGAGGATCAGACTCGATGTGCTGGATTGTGCACATTTTCATCCTGAATTGGCAAGTATTGTGTACAGCAGTGCATGCGTCGGTTCAACATCGTATTTCGTTGTGTACGCCAAAGTCGCTTCACAAGGAGAAAATCGACAGGGGGGCGGGAATTTGGGAGGGGGTGGATCAACGGTACTTTACGGTACATGTACACTACTCGTATATCAATGTGCTAGGACTGAAGGCTACATGACATACATGTAATGATGCATGTACCTTTCCAAGCACAGACTGTCTGGTATGTCCAAAAGAGGTTGCAGCATGAAAATAACTTCTTCTAAAATAATATTACCATACAACCATGTCATTGGTAGTGATATTTAGTCAAGAAGGCAAGAATGGTCAGATTTTATAAAAAATGCTATTTTCAGAATTGGCCTAAAAATACCATAATTTTGATACCTATATTGTTTGGTAGGGGCCTAAAGTGCCTGGTGACACCATCAAAACTGTCCATTATCGGTTTCCTTGGGGCTCAAGGATCACAGAAAGCCACAAAAATCAATATGTCATGGACAAAATGTTGCAGGCTGAACCATTTCACAATTCAGCACCCGATGGAAATTTCGGTACCCGTAATTTCGAAAAAGTGGCTCGCCAAGGGCAAAACCAAGACACAGTCTATCTTGTGTAGCCAAGATACCTCCAAATGTGGTTCTTAAACATATGATGAAGGAAATGCTTAGTATCCTCCTTCCAGGAGGCTTCTTTTGGGTCAAAAAGCAAAAAAATTTACAATTTTTTTGCCGAAAATCAAGAAATTGTACACTCACTAAATACACCAGAATACCTCTTATATGCCTGGTGACCCTACCTAAAAACTATACCAAATTGAAGAAGAGACATCACTCCACCATTCTATGCATAAAAAACAGGGTGTCCATAGACCTTTTATTTTTACTTCTTTAAATTAAGTGAAAAAAATGAAACCAAGAGATGGCTAGAATCTTATGGCTTTTTTCTTCTTGGCTCGCTGATGGCCAAACTCCTTCCACGTGCAGGACACAGCAAACAACACTGTCTGAACTCCTTGCACGTGCAGACACAGCAAACAACACTGTCTGAACTCCTTCCACGTGCAGACACAGCAAACAACACTGTCTGAACTCCTTCCACGTGCAGACACAGCAAACAACACTGTCTGAACTCCTTCCACGTGCAGACACAGCAAACAACACTGTCTGAACTCCTTCCACGTGCAGACACAGCAAACAACACTGTCTGAACTCCTTCCACGTGCAGACACAGCAAACAACACTGTCTGAACTCCTTCCACGTGCAGACACAGCAAACAACACTGTCTGAACTCCTTCCACGTGCAGACACAGCAAACAACACTGTCTGAACTCCTTCCACGTGCAGACACAGCAAACAACACTGTCTGAACTCCTTCCACGTGCAGACACAGCAAACAACACTGTCTGAACTCCTTCCACGTGCAGACACAGCAAACAACACTGTCTGAACTCCTTCCACGTGCAGACACAGCAAACAACACTGTCTGAACTCCTTCCACGTGCAGACACAGCAAACAACACTGTCTGAACTCCTTCCACGTGCAGACACAGCAAACAACACTGTCTGAGCTCTGCCTGTACACATTTTGACTTGATGGTATTTTTTCTCTGTCGGTCTGCAGGCGCCATGTACACCGGCCCCGAGATGCTGATGTTCTCCGGGACGAGGACCGAGGTCTTGAACCGCGCCGACTTTCTCGTTGCCGCCGTCAACAGCAGGGTGGCGTCGGTGTCGTTCGCTTTGAAAGTGTACGGACGAACGGGGATATCCTCCCGCGCCGGCAGGGACCTGACCGGCATTACATCATTTGCCATTGAAGTCGGTAAGTGTGTGCTTGATCCTTGTCAGGTTGTGCAGTCCATTCACTGGAAAGTGGCACCCTAACCTTTTGGTGTTGCCCGCGTATATTTTGTAGATGTTGTGAACACAACATAGACAGCAGTACATCCGGCATTGTGTGACCTGTACCATTTTTTCTCTCTTTTCTTTTGCTTCACATTATCATATTCATCAATTAGTAGGAGCCGTGGTTGGCTCTGGCCATCCCGGCAAGAAGGCAGATATACCTGTTCCCTTGGTGAATAAAAATAAAAATATCATACCATACCATACCTGTGATTATTGAATTATGAATTCAGCCAGGTTTTACAAAACTTGCTACAGGTATGTCATGGCAAGATAATACTGTATAAGCAGAAATTTTCGTCTGGAATTTAATTTCGTCTTTTTCGTCCAAGGAGCTTTTGGACTAAATTAAATGTAGGACGAATATCGATTTGTCCAGCTTTTCTATACACTCTTATGATCCATGGACGAAATTTTCAACCGGACAAACTCCTTTTCTTTGGAGTTGGACGAAATTATTGACCGACGAAATTTTCTGCCTCTACAGTATATGGAAAAGCAGATCCCA